TAAATATAAAATTCATTCATGTTTCATATACACATAGCCCAAAGGTATAATAATTTTAACAATTCTGTGTGTGAAAGTTTTGACTGCATTTTGACTGTGACCTGTCACATGAAGTCAAGTGTGGAATTTTCCACTTGTGGGTCATGTCAGCTCTACAAAAGTTGAAAATTTTGGATTTTGGGATTAGGGATGTGCAATCTGTACTATTATTAGGTCTGAGAACCCTGAAAGATTAACTGACAGCCAAAGTGGCCTTTATCCCTAACCCTTAGACTTCAGATGGCAGTTCTATTTCTGTCCACACCCAGAGCTGCATGGCAGAGCCTTTTAGAATACATTCACTGTCATTATTGCCGTATTAATGGGGTCTCTTGGGCTGCCTCCTCTGAGCAGGAAAGGGCCTGCTCCCAAAACTTCTGGGCAGGAATTTTAATCCAAAACAGAAGTGCTAAGTGTAATCTGTCCTTACCCAGAAGCAGCAAAGGCCTGGGAAGCTGAATGGCTCTTTAAATAGACCAGGTGTTCCTAAGCTGTGGTTCATGAATAGGATACAGAGTCCTGAATCCCATGAAACTACATGCAAAATGCTGCTGTATATCCCTTCTTCTAAATTGGGACCAAAAAATTTTGCCAAAAGGTTTTTATGATTAGCCCAAAATGGAATTCAGAAATATAATTTGCAGCTGGTCCAAGTGCAGTAGTGTTTTCAACTAACTAATCACGACCAGTTACAGATTCCTTTCTTCCTTCTCCAATCCTACTCCTTCACTTGACTAGCCTAAAAATAAATAATTTTTTAAAAAAAAGGAAATTATAACTTGCAAACAGCCACCTGTGTTGAACATTGATCTTTAAGGTACTGTTTTTTCAACCTTTAATGCTTCCTTTCATTAAGTACTCCCCTTTGCTGTTTAATGTAGGTCCCTTTACTATCAAGCTTGTTCAAATGCCAAATAAATAATACTAAACTACATTAGCATCCCCTACTCCACCCCCAACTATATATTCTCAATGCTCCATGGTCTTCTATCATCACATTTTCTTATCATTTGCATAACAGTCATCTGTGTCACTAGACCATGATCTATGAGAGCAGGAACAACATATTTGTAGTTTCCAACTGTAACTCCAGTGCTTAGCATAGTGTTGATGTATAGTAGATATTAAATTTATATTTGGTAAATTATTTCAGTAAGTGAATCAGTAATATAAATAGACTTTGTAATATATCAAAATATCCCTGGCCCAAATTCTGATTTAAGTTTTCTTCTCTCACCTGAATCTCACAAGGTATTATCACATATTCACTTGAAAAAGTCCTTCAACATGCAGGTGCTGGCTTTTCTGGACTTCTATCCCACTTAGTCCATTCTTCCTCTCACCTGTCCCAAATTCCCTACTCTTCAAAACTTCCCAAACTCTTAGAATTCATCTTCTATCATAATGAAATTCTACAGCTTCAAACTCCTTCACCAAACATTCCCTATACATCCTTGTGCTGGTGGAAACCTACACTCCCCCGGTGGACTCCCCTCTTTCACAGTCCTCACAGTCTAAGGATGGTCATGCTCTCCCACCCCAGGGATCGCAGCAAAGGGGGAGGGTGCGTCCTCCTAGCTACACTGAAACTCATGTCATTCACCTCACTTTTTGGAGCTTTGTCCTACCAACCTCCTGAATACCACCACCTTCATCCACTAAAGACTCACACCTGGGATTTATACTCTAATACAAAAACTTGTATTGTCTCATCTCCCATTGTCCATAGCATCTGCTTATAAAGTCACTCAGTAACAATATAAAAATAACTGACTTTAAGGAAGCACTTAAGAACTTTCATGAAGCACCGGTGTGTGAACATGTCCCATGGATGATCATTCATTTAATTCTCACAAGACTCCTGTGAGAAAATACTACTAGCAGCACCATTTTTCATATGAAGAACAGGAAAGTTAGAGAAATTAAGACATTAGCCTGAGGTTGGTATTAAATAGCAGGGATGCAACCTCAAGTTTGCACATCAGAGACCGTGTTCTCAGTCATCAATTCCCACGGCTAGCCCAACTCGCATATCCTGGAGCTGCTCTTCACCGGCCCACTGTTACGGTGACACCCAGACCTTGAAATCACCATAAAATACTCCACCTTTCGAATCACACATATGACACTGCCTACTCTTTGATTACAACATTCACTTGCTCCAGAGTACTGGCTCAATTTCTCTCTTTACTCTTCTTGTTCTTCTATGGTTTGGGGCATTACGCTATTAAAATGTCTACTATCACTATCTACCAATCTATATTATTTTCCTTTCTGTAATATTTAGTGGCCCCTTTATATTATAATTTCCATCTTAATTACTCAGTTTAGAGTCCATAGATCATTCATTCTAATCTTTCTATTTGATATACTTTAAAATTTTCTTTCTAATATTCCCTCAACTCACGGAACTTCCACTCCATAGGAAAAGGACGTGGCAAATTACAAAAAGTAAATGAATTCAAATGTCGATCTGCTAGCTAAGGAAAGTGAGTTACAAAATGCCACTGGGGGGAAAAACCCACAGAAGCAGCTGCACAGAGCACTATACATTAATGACCACTATTTCCAAATGATCCTTTCAGGCTGACGAGCAAACCTATTACACCTACTGGGGCAGCTTGTCCTCTCATGATCCAAAATTACTATTAATATTTTAAGCCTTCTCTACCCTTGTCAAACACTTCTCCCTTCCAATTCCCACCCTCACACTGATCTGATCTTTCACAGAGAAAAATCTAAGCCTTCAGATAACTCCCTCGACCTCATTCTTCCTATATGAATCCTTCTCCCCATATAGAGCTAATTTATTCATAGATGTTCTGAATTAATTATTCTGATGCTAATCAAGGACTCTGCTTTATAGTTTATTCCCTGTTTCCTGATTGTTAATTTCTTTTTCTCCAGTGACTCCTTCCTGTAACCACTTAAATAGAGTCAAATCTTTTCAATCCATTAAGAAAGAAGAAGAAAAAAGCTCCTCAATCTCAAATCTCCTTGCAGTTCTCACTCTCTTCCATCTTTCATACGATAACTAAATTTCTTGGAAAGGTTGTCCACTCTTATCTCCATTTCCTCACTTCCAAGCTCATTTCAAAATCTGGCTCCTGTCAACCAGCCACATACATTTCTCAGTGCAAAGAAGGAGGCCTTGCCCAACTCACCTGGGATGGGATGGCCAGTGACCCAGCATCTTCTCCCTCAACCTTGATGATAATCTCTTGAGGAAGGAGAGAGTCCTGAGAAGGCAAAACAGACGAGAAAAAGAAAAATAATCAGGGAGTTAAGTTGCAGCTGCAAACTCCC